AGGGGTGATTAATTTGGCCAGAGCAGGTAGGAGAAGATAATCTCTCCTTTCATAGAGGCGATAATACACTGAAACTTGATGAATGAACACAAATAATGAGGAGGCGGCTTCCTTCCAGGCAGGCAGAAACAGTTCAACAGATGCAAAGGTACAGAGAGAAACAGCAGGGAACTTACAAGCAATTTCGAATTGCTGGAGCACAGGGTGTATGGGGAGAGCATAGATAGACTACAGAAGTGAGAAGGACCTCATAGATCTTGCTGAGAAATTTGGTTTTTACCCTGAGTACAATTAGGAGTCACCAGAAGGTTTTAAGTGAGAATGGGACGCACTATGATATGTTTATAAATCTGTGAAAGGGCGGGAAGTAGGGTTCAGAAGTGGAAGTGATTGGAGGCAGAAGGACCAGTTGGGAGGCTACTCCAAAACTGTAAGCCAGAGACAAGGGTAATCTGAATCCTAACAGTGACAGTGGGGGCAAAGAATGGGATGGATTCAAGGGAGATATGTAGGAAGTAGACCATACAGAAACTGGTGATGGCTAATGGGGAGTGAAGACGTAGGGGTGTCCAGCATACTTCCAACCTTTCTGGCTTGCTGGCATTTGCAGAAAAGGGCCAGAAATTGTGGGGCCAGAAGTGATCACCTTTCTAGGTAATTTCTTTCCTCCTCAGATGTCCTACCAGTGTTCACATAAGCAGAAGATGCTGTCTCCTTTCCTGGTATACTATGGTTATTCTACTTCTAACACACTAACGGGGTTTATATTATTAAAATTTATTATCATAAGGCAGACTTACGAGCTCTAGTGCTGCCCTCTAAGAATCTTCCCCTTGTTTTAAAATTATTAATTTCCCCAAAATATAATAACAATGGAAGTAAAAGGAAAAAGTGTGATCAAAGCAAAAAGGATATGAATTTATGTGAATGTGTACAAGAGCAGGAGAGTATATAGGAGTCCTTCTGCAAGAGTGGAGGACTTCCCAAGAGGAAAGGGATGAAAGTAAAGAATTAGAGACAATGGTAGGGTGGGGGTATTTCAATCACTTCAAGCAGAGCCTGACCTAAAGATTTCTCAAGGGCGAGGCCCTCGACTATAAAACAGAACCCGAGAATAGAAGATGACTTGCCTCACAGTGCTTCCAGGGAGCTAAATGTTCAAATCAAGCATAAACTAAGGAGGGAGAATCTGGGCCTGTGTGCCCCAGGAAGGAAATGGGAAGCCTGTCAAGTCCCAGGATGTCTCTGATCTCCAAGCAGGGCTATTTGAGAATGGCTACCCCAGGGTTTTGAAACTAAACCAGTCTCCAGNACACGGATATTATTCAGCCATTAAAAAGAATGAAATCTTGCCATTTGTGAAAAACACGGATGGATCTTGAGGGCATTATGCTAAGTGAATTAAGTCAGACAGAGAAAGACAAATACCATATGATCTCACTTATATATGTAATCTAAAACAACAAAAACAAAACAAACAAAAAAACCCTGAGCCCCATAGATACAGAGAACAGATTGGTTGGGGGAGGGGGGCAGGGGAGTGTAGAGAAGGAGATGGAAGAAATGGGTGAAGGGGGTCCAAAGGTACAAATTTCCAGTTATAAAATAAATGTCATGTGGATGTAATTATAGGGACAAGAAAAAGGATCTAAAGCCACCAGAGTCCCTGGAAGAAGAAACCCAAAACACCCTGGGGGGATATTCCCACAATTCTGGGCACAGAGATTCTCTTAGGGGGAAAAAAAAGTACTACTACAAATAAGCTCACAATCAAACATGATTAAACCATATCAGGAACTAATCAATCATGAACAAGAGTCAACAGACACAATAGTAGGGTAGTAGAATTAGACAATAAGAATTTCAGAAAATAGAAAGATGGATCTGCTTTAAAATAATCCATGGAGGGGGGAACTGGAGATACGTACATGAAACAAATTTGGCCACATGTTAATAATTATCAAAGCTTATACTTTGACCTAGTAATACCACTTCCCAGGTATTTAACCAAGAGAAATGAAAACAAATGTCCACAGAAAGACTTACAGAAGAATGTTATTAGCAGCTTTATTCACAGTAGCCCACACTGGAAACAATATGAGTATCCATCTACAGGAGACTAGATAAACAGTTTGTGGTATATTCATTCAATGGAATACTACTCAGCAATAAAGAGGAATGAACTACTAATAAGTGCAACAACATGGATGAATTTCAAAATATAATGTGCTGAGTGAAAGGAGCTGGACTCAAAAAAGTATATACTATATGGCTCAGGAAAACACTTACCCGATACCTGAGCAAGGGAAGAACAAAAAGGGGAGAGGATGGTAAGAAGAACAAGGAATGAGGCTTTATTGAACTATATGTAAATTCTTTTTTAAAAATCTGAAACAAATACAGAAAAATCTGAACATATATTTCATCTCAACTATAGGTATAATTGCTTGTTATTTTATGTACTTTTCTTATATTTGAAATGTTTTATCATTCAAAGTACATAAACACAGAAATACAGATTGTCAGTGAGACTTTTAGCAAGTAACTTACTAAATTTTCAATGTATGGTTTTAGTCTCAGAAAGGCCTCACTAAGAAGCATATATTGGTACCATACATGGAACTATTTTAACAGCCTTAACCTTAAATTAAGCCATAAACATGATGATTGAGCTCTGATTCCATTCAGGCTCTCAGAAAAGGAAAATTGGTACATACAGAGGCTTAGGGCAACCCACTCTGCATTAATTTGGAAGACTGATCTCCAAAACTTGGAATCAGGACACATGAGGCCCACTCTGAGTTTGGCTAATGAATACTACAGGGGTTGGCAAAAACTTACTTCCCTGCAATATGCATCTTCAGAATTAAAAAGGATTTACTCCTTTACTTTTTAAGGCCAAGGCTAACAAAGAGTGTATTGTAAAATGACCTCAAGTGTGCTTCTAACTTATGATCAAAGATCAGTTAACTATCTCATATAGAAGGTTCCTGAAGTCTATTTCCTCAAGTAATGTTAGAGTGAATGGCCTGTTCTAGGACACTAATTTACTAAATGCCTAGGAAATGTGCAAGGGATTCCAAAAAGTCTCAGGAGGCTGAGTTTCCATGATTTTACCTTCCCATCACCCTCTCCTATCCCTTCTCCTACCCCTAATCCTGCTTGTCCTTTCCACTCAGCTGTTCCTCTACAGGCAGGGTGCTGCATTTAGGGTGATCAAAGGACCATTCTACCCAGGCCAGTCCCAGTTTATATCTGTTGTCCTGGCTAACAACACCCCTTTAATTCTCAATAGTGTCCTAAGTATGCAGTCACTTTAACTATCATGGAAAGAGCTTGGGGTTCGAAGTTAAAAAGACCTGGGCTCAAATTTTAGTTCTGCCACTTAAAATTCTGTAACCTTAGGCCAGTTTATGGACTCTCTCTGAACCTCAGTTTTTTAAAATCTGAAAATGGGGACTAACACCAAATTTCCAAGTTTGCTGTCAGGATTAGAAACATGTAAAAGCAATCAGGATATAGTTATTTCATCCACAAGAAACCAGAGCCTAGCCATTCACCCTCTCTCTGAATGCGGTTACCTTGCCAACTTGGAAGCAGTCATCTGCTGTGAGGGAGAAAAGCCGTCTGGGGTTGTACAGCTCAGTGACAGCAGAGCCAGTGCCTCTCTGAAAGACGCCTCGGGCAAGGCCCTTCACACTGAGCATGTACACATCCTGCAGTCGCATCAGGGCCCTTGCTGCTCCCTCCACGTCCTCAAAGGCTGGCAGGTCTTGCTCCACCTTCTCATAACCATCCTTCAGAGCTGTATAGGTCGTGAAAACATCAACCCACCATTCAAACGACAGGCGGTGAGCATTTAATACATGCAAGGCATAATCATCACCTGTTCAAATATTTCAGGAGCAAAGATAATGTTTGATCTGTGTTTGATCCCAGTGGCAAGTTCCTGGCACAGACAGAATGCTTGATACAATCTTCTCCAAGAGGAAGAAATGCTCTGGAGTAAAAACTAAGGCAAACAACCTTTATCACATTGTCCCATCATATCTGTCTCCAGGAGTCTTGCCCTTTGTGGGGATAATTCTTCTTCCTCTTAACTTCCCCAAAGTCAACAAACTTCTTCAAGTACAAAGTAGAGTAAATTAGGAAAGTGATCTTGCTACAGATCACATTGTAGCGGCAACTTAATAAAATAGAAATTATTAGAAGATATCACTTTCTACTCATGTAAATGGGATGATATAACCTGTAGCTCTTCACAGGACTGTAGTGAAGATTAAACAAGATAATGGGCACGAAATACTTCCTAATATACGAGGGTGCCAAAAATGTATACACATTTTAAGAAAGGAAAACTGTATTAAAATTGTAATACTCAATATATACCGATAACAAAAGATGAGTACAAGTCACGTTTGATTTCTGTAATGACAAGAGGTGCTCAAAGTGGTTACCATCAGCGTCCTGACACTTCTGATTATGACAAATCTGCTTGAGCAACGTTGACCAAAGTGTCCACTTGTATACATTTTTTTGGCACCCCAGCATAATCATATAAACATATTAACAAGGGGATCTAGTTCTTTGTAATAAGGAGATCAAATAATACCTACCCACTTTATTATCCTTCATCACATCCCATCAGAATCTCTCTCCTTTCCACTGAGTCAGGAGACAGAAACGTCTCTTACCCTCCAGCCCTCCTCCTCATTACCTCGGATGTTCTCACTGGCCTCCAGACTATGGACCACATTCCTCCAGTCAGACTGTAGGCGTTTGATGAGAGTAAATGCAAGCAAAGGGTTAGACACAGGAGTTGCTGAATCCTCATGCAAAGAAAGCACCTTGTCATAGAATCTGAAAGAGAGGAGTAAGTAGTATGATCTCACCTGCTGATCCAACCATTAAACCTGGGGAGGCTAACTCAAAGCATGTGATGTATACACACTAAGAGTAGTTAAATATGAAATGCTGAACCCCTCGAGACTCATGTAATAGTCTAACCAATAAGCACAAAAAAATACGAAAACTACCAAGACAACAAAAGTAGGTCCACTCTGTTCATTCAGTGAGTCAGTCTTTATTGGCCAATTACTGTACATCAGGCACCAGGCTAGAGGCTAGAGATACAAAGGTAAGACAGGGTTCCAGCTCTCAAGCAGTTCACAATCCAGAAAATCTTTTTTCCTCCCATCATCCTATACTCAACACTTAGAATCTGGTAGAAGCTCAAAAACATTGTTCAACTAATTGCAATAATTGTGATACATGCTATGAGAGAAGTCAGCACATAACGCTATGTAATGCTATAGCAATCTGTAGGCAGGGCATCTAACCAGGTGGGCGTTAGAAGGTGTAAGGGAAGATTTCCCAGAGGAGGTGCACTTGATCTGAGTTCTGAAGGATTCGTTAAAATAGCAAGAGCTACTACTTATTGGTCCTTATCATGTCTTAGGCATTCTAAGTGCTTTAAATATATAGTTTCATTTAATCCTCCCCAACAACGCTTAGAGTAGATTTTATCATGCCCATTTTACAGGCGAGGAAACTGAAACAGGGCCACACTGTTCATAAGCAACAAAATCAGGGGTGGACCCAAGTTGAGCTGACTCTGAAGCCTGGGTTCTCAGCTGATTTGCCATACTGGTTCTCACGGAGCTAGAACAAAGAAGGGAGGAAGAGTACTTTTTGAGCCAACAGGGACCAATATGTACACAGAGGCTTGGCATGCATTTGTTCATTCAGTAAGTCAGTCTATACTGGTTCCTTGCTAGATATCAGATCCCATGCTGGAAGCTGGGCAAGGCAAGGTCCAATGCTCAAGGATTTTATGGACAAGAAAACTGCCGTTTTTGTCATCACCCTATGCCTAAGTTCAATACATATTTCTAGGAAAGAATGAATGAAATACTATATTCTTTCAGAATCTAGGAAGAAAATTAAAAAAAAATTTTTTTATTGGGGAACAGTGTGTTTTTCCAGGGCCCATCAGCTCCAAGTGAAGTAGTTGTTTCAATCTAGTTGTGGAGGGAGCATCTCAGTGGCCCATATGGGGATCGAACCGGCAATCTTAGTGTTATGAGCACTGCGCTCTAACCAACTGAGCCAACCAGCCGCCCCACAAAATTTTGAATAAGACAATAAATACCCTTGGTCTCAGAGACTCACAGTCTAGTGGGTAATACAGACACAAATAATTACATTACAGGTGCAACACCAAGTTTAAGAATAAGGCTTAGTGGGGAGAGTACAGAAAGGGGTGATTAATTTGGCCAGAGCAGGTAGGAGAAGATAATCTCTCCTTTCATAGAGGCGATAATACACTGAAACTTGATGAATGAACACAAATAATGAGGAGGCGGCTTCCTTCCAGGCAGGCAGAAACAGTTCAACAGATGCAAAGGTACAGAGAGAAACAGCAGGGAACTTACAAGCAATTTC